GTCAAATCCTCTTCAAGAGGGAGGGGATGATGGAGGAGGCCCATGGGCTAAGGGCCCAACTACTAGAGCAATGGCAAGAAGGATGCATGAAGAGTGGGCCCAAGCCCAAGTGTGAAACACATGCACATGGTGTGACCGAAATGCAACCCAAATGGAAGCCTAATGAAATTCCAAATGACTTGCACATGTGGTGATCCGGGTTTAGGCTCCAAAATTTGAATTTTGAATTCAAATTTTGGGCGCCTAAGGTTAAGTGAACCCTACCTTGGTTTCACTTAACCTTAGGCTAACCCATGGTTACCTTGACCTAATTTTTCTCTATAAATTCCTTATGACCGAAACTTGTAGCACTTTTGGAATTAATTGATGAGTTTTCTCTCTTTAGAAATCTCCTTCTCCTAAAGTCACCTCTCCTAAACTCTACCCTACTTGAGCTCCTCTCCTTGTAGAGTTAGGATAGCTTTTTTTCTCCGGACTTAGCTAGAAGCAAGCCTAGGTCACATTGAAGCTACTTGGAGTCTTCTTCCTTGTTGAACTTCTAAGGAATTCCGAGAAGCTTGAAGTGTTCATGAGAATTCCAAGTGGAATTCCATCACTACAACAATTAGAACATGATCCACTATCAACAATGAGAGAACAAGGTCTTTTAGAAACTAAACATCTTGTATGAAATATGTTCTCTCTTTGTGATAATGAAGTGGGACAAGGTTGGCTTCCAAGAAGCCTTTTGACCATAAGAAGATCACCATCAACAGGATAAAGCTTTTCTATTTCATGATCACTAGTTTTCTCTTCACTCTCACTAGAAGATGAAGATGATGAGGATTCTTCACTACAAATGTCTTTACCCCTTAAGATCATGGTCTTTTTGGTGGGGCATTGAGAGGCAATGTGGCATCTACCTAGACACTTAAAACATTTTACTTCACTTGTCCTTGAACTAGTGTGTGAGGTGATTTTTTTTCCACATCTTTTTCAATTTCTTCAATTTTAGAGGGATTTTCTTTAGAATAACTTTTGAATGAACTTCCCTCCCTCTTGGAATCCTCCTTGAAGTAAGATTTAGAATTGATATTTTTAGAAGATTTTCTAAGAAGTTGTTGTTCTACTCTTATACATAGTTGGACCAAGTCATCAAGGTCCCTATAAGGAAGTAACTCAACTCTATCTCCTATTTCAAAGTTTAGACCACTCAAGAATCGAGCAATGGTCAATCTTTCTTCCTCCCTTATTCTAGCCCTCATCAAATACAACTCCATTTTTTGTCTATATTCCTCCACACTCATATTCTTTTGTTGGAGTCATTGGAGCTTATCCATAAGCTCCATACTATAATAGGAAGGTATATGCCTTCTTCTCATAGCACTCCTCAAATCATTCCAAGACTCTATGGGTGGGTCATCATGGAGTCGCCTTTCTCTAACCAAGGCTGTCCACCAATACATAGCTTGTCCTTGGAAAGCTAAGGTGGCCAAGGGAACTTTTCTTTCTTCACCTACTTGGTGACAAGTGAAGATTTGCTCCACTTTCATTTCCCAATCCAAGTAGGCATCCACATCTTCTTTTCCATGGAAAGGAGGGAGATCAACTCGTGATTCCCTAACCTTTGGCTCTCTAATTATTCTCCTAGGAGTAGGTTGATAGTATTCATCCACATTCAAACTTCCTACATCCTCTTGGCTTGTGGAGCCATGGGAACTTTTATGAATTTTCTTGTTTTTAATCTTTTCCAAAAGTTTAGCCTCTTATTGCTTAACCTTTTGTATTTCCTCCTCAAGGGCAACAAGTTGTACTTATCTTTCAATTCTTTCCTTTTCTTTAAGAAGTACTTCTTGTTTCCTCCAAAGTTTTAGTGATTCTGCCTCCTTAACAATTTGATAAAAACTTTTAGGAGATTCTAAATCACTACCACTTTGAGAGTGATTACTCATGGTTAAGTAAAAAGATTTTATATGCTATGCAAAAGAGAAAATATTTTGGGGTCTTTTCTAGGAACAAGACTAGCACTTGGAGGCCCAAGTGTACAAATTGCACTATCAAGGGAGGTGAGCTACTAAGAGCCACTTAATAACCAAGCCTTTTCAAGTGGAAATCACTAAACCTCCTTATGGTAATCTCAATTCCACAAAACTTTTCACAAATTTTGATGCTTTATGATTTTCACAATTTTTCTTGAATCCAATCTAAGCGTAAGCAATCAAAACTACGCATCCTAGTCGAATTAACAAATTAAAACAAGAAAAAATTTGAAACAAATCAAAGGAGTAAATATCAAGCAAACTAGTCGGATTTCCCTAAGTGGAAGCTTGAATTAATCATATGAAATTTTCAAGCCACTTCCACTAGATCTACACGTGAGTGATCTATAAGGTGTTAGATATACCTGACCAGCTTCTTAATACTCCCCCCAAGCTATTACAAAATGATTGAAAATAAAGAAAATGCAAGAAAATTAAACTAGTCTAAAAACATAATTTAGAGACGGAATTGGAGACCACTTTAGTGACGGATTTGGCAACCAATTTTCCAACAACAATTTTATTGCTTCAATCCGTCACCAATGTTGAAACCTTTGATCCTCTTAGAACCTGCACAATGAACAAAACAATTTCATGAAAGTAGGCTGCTCACAATGATGATAGGAATGATCACTCTTGTGAAGGAAATTTAGGAGTTTATGTCACCAAATTAGGTCAAATTTTAAGTCCTTTGGCCTTAGGCCTAGCAATACTCCTCTCCTAATCTTGTTGAGTCAATGTTTGGTTCCTTAGCAAGGATTTAATGCCACTTCCAGCATAGAAAATTTTTGAAAGAAAACTTAGACAAACAACAAAAGCACAATTTGTAAAGCTTATTCCAAAAATGAAGGATTAAGTGTATGTTGACAAGACTCAAAGATAGCCAAGAAACAAAATTGAAAATTAAGACTCCAATGAAAGATAGCACTCAAAAAGAATGTTCCTAGATAAGCACTAGAGTAGATTAACAAAACCAAAGGAATTATGAAAAATTACAAGAGAAATAGAGTCAAACTAGTAGATCCATCACTTAATGTAACTTTGGTTTTATCACTAGTGTTCTTCTCGGCTTTTCCTTTTTGTATTGCTTTTTTTTTTTAATTCAAAATGTATTTCTAGAGAAGTTAAATTGCCTTTACAGCAAAATTTCACAAATAAAATTGTATACAAACCGGATCTACAATCATGAGAAGTTTCAAATGAAATTTTCAATTTCTGCTACATTAAGGATGAAAGTTATTTTGGATTCTTTTGTATTTTTTTTTTCTTTTCTCTTTCTAACTCTTTTAATTCAATTTGCTCTGCATTTTCTCTCTTTTCCAACAATCAATTTTCCAACACTTGAATGCAAAACAAGCAATGCACTAGAAATAGGTATATCACTTAAGAACTCAAAGAAACAATGATTGAATTACTATTTGAATTGGAATTTAAAATTTGAAAACTCTTTAAACACAATGGAAACCTAACTCTAAGAATTCATCAATGATATAATGATGAATATGAACTCAAACGTGCAAAGAGAAAAGCTCACAAGCAAAGCACATTTAGTGCAAAATGAGTCTCGGCCAAACTCAAAATGAATAAAAAAAATTTTAAAACACTAGATTAACAAGCACATCTTGAATTCATATGACATTTTAAAAGAACTTAACATGACTTTTGACAAACTCAAGATTCAAAAATTAAACATATCACATGCATATGGAAGGAAAATGACCGAATCAAACATTGACACAAGAATTGACTCAAACCAAAAGAAAATTGGCACAAGTTGAATCCTAGAACACTATTGATTGCAGATTGAAACCAAAATGCAATCAACACTTGGATCTATGGAACCCTAATTGTTTCTAAATGTAATTTAGAAATTTCGGATTCATGCTTTTATGTATTCCTTCTATTATCCTACTCTAATGACCTAAATACAATGGCCAATCAAATACATTAGAAAAGAAAAATTACAAGAATGAAAATGAACCCAATATTGGGTACCAAAAACCCAAAGGCCTATGAAGCCCAAAACTAGGCCCACTAAGCCGATGGCCCAAAATGCTATCCTGTGTGGTCCAAAACCAAAATATATGTAATCTATTGCTACTTCATTTCTTGCATGCTCGTGAAGCCTTGGTTTTCGAAGTTGGAAAAATAGGGGTTGTTGGAGAAAAGATCACACTAGTACAGAAGGTGTATTTTACGTATGTTATTTTAGGGTTTTTACGTTGAAAAAAAAATCCGACATCAATGCGGGAGACATAAATTTACGTCGGTTGTGATAGCCAATGTAAATTTACGTCAGTTGTGATAGTCGACGTAAATTTACATCAGACATCGCCAAGAACCAACGTAAAATTGTTGCCTGACATGCACAAGAAAGATGCAAAAATTTACGCTGGACTGTGCTATGTAGGACATAAATTTACGTCGGTTAAGGCCATACCCGACATAAATTTACGTCAGACAATGCTATGTCCGACGTAAATATATGCATTTTTTTTAAAAAAAAATTGTTTTATTATTCATACACCCAAAACCTGCATACAATCCAGAATACAAATTCAACCAGTCCACAATAATCTCAAAATTTATATTTACAACTATCCTAAAAAGAAAATAATGTATAAATAAAAACCATAAATTAAGACAATATAAATCCAACTATCCTAAAAAACCTACAGAACATAAGTTGCCTATTGCTATGAAACTATGAGACAATATAATATCTAACTATCCAACTAACTAAACTTAGAAATCTAACTAATATATACTTTGAAGAAATTTTTTTTCCCATTGTGATATCCTCTTCGACCAATGGAGATGGATCTTGAAAGAACTGAAACATTAATTTAACTGTTGTTAACATGCAATGTTAATTCTCATATAAGTAAATATACTTAAATAAATGTTGAAATGAATTACCTCCACCTAAGAATCAGTAATACCCGCAAAAACTATGGCTCTCATCCAATTCATGATGTAATAGCCACATTCAAATGAGTCTTGTTGCTTATTACACTAAAATGAGAAACAAATAATAATATTATTTCCAAAGTTGATAAATTCAAATATTATTGCCTCTATTAAATATTTTCTAACCTTAGGGTATATGAAGTTCAATGTCTTTGATCTGGCTCTTCCACTTAAAATATTAGTTCCAGACACGATTCTAATTAATTCAAAAAAAAACAGATGTTAGCCAATATATATAGTTACAGTTTTAAAACATAACGAAAAATTATAGTTACCCTTATAATTGGCTTTTCATTTCGTGGCTTGGTCTTCGATGTAGTGAACAAAACCACATCACGGTGTAATCCTTAGGAATGATTACAATTAACTGCCAATGGGACCTACATTGTACGACAAACAAATTAGTTACAAAATTACCATGATTAAATTTTTTTAAAAAAAACTAACCCTTCTATGTATGAAGCCATGTATATATGTCTTCCGGAGTCACTTATCCATGTTTGCATATATTGTTGTATCTAGACCTTCGTGTTCCCTGATTTTTAGATGGATTGAGGCTCAATAAATCCATATACTTGTGCTTGTGCTTGCTCCACGCTCAATTTGTCCATGTACCTAACACAATTAATTATATAAGTTAAATGTAATTATTGTAATTTTAGACTCATAAAAGAAAATATCACTTACATGGCCCACAGCTGTATGATAGAAATATTTAACATGGAGTTTCCCCCCACAATCTCTAATGTTTCAGGCAGGGATATGTATAGTGGAAAATTAGAGCTGTCAAATCCATAAACTCTAATGTCCCACTTTATTTTTTGTTTCAATTTAGTCTCCAATAATTTAAAATCACATCAATGTGGGACTTTTGTCCAAATTCCACAAATGGTGTTAAATGTGGATGACGTGGATGCCACATAGATGCATAGGTGGCAAGGTTTCCTCCTCCTTCTTTAATGCATCTGCAACGGCCCGTTCTGAAACCAGAACAGCTCATTCTGCTTGCACTCGTAGTGTATTAATTTTGCATCTGGAATGGCCTATTCTGCTTGCACTCGTAGAGTGTTAATTTTGCATCTGGACCGACACGTTCTCAAATCAGAATGGAACGTTCCAGATGCACAATTAACACACAATAGCGCAAGCACAACGGGTAGTTCTGGTTTGAGAATGGCCAATTTTAGATGCAAAATTAACACATGACATATGTATGTTTTCATTTAAAAAATATTCATAATATTAAATAATTTAAGTAATCATTATATTTAATGATACAACGTGATAACTAGTACAACTTAAATTATTAATAGATCAATAAATACATTTATTTTCAACAAATTAGCTAATATATTAAGAAATGATTTTCAATACTAACCTCAAACACGCGCCTAATGCAATCTGTCAGAAAACCCAGGAGCCATCCACTGATGTCCAGAAGTCGTTCGCCCAAAGGAGAAATAAAAAACTTTGTAACGTTCTCTGTAAAATATATAATCTAAGAACCTAGCACCGTTCTCTGTAACGTTGTGTACAAATATTATCGCGCGCGAAGAAGACGAAGTGGCGGGGGGAAATAAGAAACTTTTTTACGTCGGACCACGTAGGGTCCGACGTAAATTTAAAAATCTATGTCAGACACAAGCTACATCCGATGTAGATTTTTAAATTTACGTCGGTCCCTATTTAGGCCGACGTAAAAAAGTTTGCTTTTATTTTTAAAATTGTCATAGCGTCTTTTTTACGTTGGATATGTTTACGTCCGACAAGAAAATGCAGACATAATTTCTTACTTTTGCACTAGTGTCATGGCAAACATGTCCTTGAGGTTTTCGATTTTAGATTTCCTTGAGGCCTTTGATTTTAGATGCAACCTCTCCTAGTTGTAACTTTGAATTCTTGTGGTGGATGGGACCCGATAAAACTAGCTCTAGAGAGTCATGCTTGGTGAAGTGCTTTCAGTCTTGTAGATGGTGTGTAAAGCATTAGATTTTGGGGGCTTTAGGTTGTGATCTTTGGTTTTAAAATTGATTATTGCACTGATTTTAAAAGGTAGACTTTTAAAATTGGTTATTTATAATCAATTTTAAAAATCAACTATTAAAATCAGTTTTCATCCTATTTTAAAAATTCAGACTTAAAAAATTGGCTGTTTTAAAAACAGTCAAACAATCGATTTTAAAAGTCTTTAATCAATTTTAAAAAGTTTTTTTCTACTAGAGAAAAAAATATCATATAATGAATTTGTTCACTATCTAGCCCTTAATATCAACCCCCAAATCATCCTGAAAAATCATCCCAAAACAGCCCTCAATTCGGCACTAATATCATCCACAAAACACCTTAGAAAGCCTACAATTCAACTTCAATTTCATTTGCACATTTCATTGAATACAGTGCACAATTTAAATACTTCCAAACCATACACATTTAACATGTCAGCCATCCAAACACTACTACATAAGACACATTTTACATCGGTTTTTTTAGGCATTTTACATCGGTTTTGAAACCGATGTAGATGCAAGCGATGTAAAAAGTGCAAGACATTTTACATCGGTTTCCAAAACCGATGTAAAAAGTATTATTTTTACATCGGTTATTGACATAACTGATGTAAAATATGCCATATTTTACATCGGTTCTGGGTGGAACCGATGTAAAATATATTATATATTTTACAACGGTTCCACCCAGAACCGATGTAAAATATGGCATATTTTACATCTATTATTGATAGAACTGATGTAAAATATGTCATTTTATATTATTCTTATATGGTTACTCTGGTTTCCAATCAGCGTGCAAATAGTTTGCATACAATTCATTAACATATGACAAAAGGTGATAAAAAAAAGTAATTAGCAAAAATTCAAAATTCCTATTCACAGAGTAACAAACACAGCCACTCAACAATCTATATCATTTAAGCGAATATAACATTCAAGTTGATGGCACTGGATTAAAAAGACATGAAATGCATATTAATTTGGACAGACATATTTGTACAATCCACAAAAGCCCAAATAAATAAATACATTGAATTCATTCTTGATATAGAATAAAGTTTGAGTTTCTTGGGAAAATTCTAAAGTAATACTCTTGACAGCCATGATTTGAAATAAATTTTATAATATAATATTTTGAACTCAATCCAGTTGCATGCATGACTATATATGACGTCCACAAGTCATGTTCTTAGAGGGACTTGTATAACACTAAGAACATGATGAATACTCATACTGCTTGATGCAAACATTATAAGTTTTACAAAATTACTCCTGGGAATATGAACTTTGGAATATAGCATTCCCATGTTTGTTAAAAACTTTAACAAAAAAAATAAATTCCCAAGCATAATTAATTCCCAGGAATGAGTAAACTTCATATACTGCTTTGCTTGTCTTTCATTGCCGTGACAAGTATCATATAGACATTCTGACTAGTGATTTCTATTCTAACTATTTTTTCTTCTATCACAACTTCTGTTTATCATAACTAAATTGACTTTTTGATATTTCATGAAGAGGTTTTGCCAACAAAATGGGGAAATATCAAGGACTATTCTGAAAGTAGCCACTAAGACTGACTCCCTTGAATATATGATTATTCTCATTAGTGTTGTTATCAAATACTAAGGTTAAATTTATGTAATGCTGATACCAAATATTTACAAATGATTTCCTTTTAAAAAAAATTTCATAAAAAAGTATAGCTTAAGAAAAATCCTAATTATCAAAAAGTCCAAACCTCTTTCAGTAAAGAAGCCAATAACGAAGATAAAAGCAACCACCCAGCTTTCTTTTCAACTGTGGCTGCCATTGGATTGCGACTATGTTCTGTCAGCATTTTCTTTGAAACCCCAAATACTATTCCAGGAAACTTGGTTATAGCACAGCACAGTATTCCAAATTAGTACAGCAAATCAAGCAAGCATTAAATTTCATAAATGACAATTATTCTGTCGTTGTCCATTAGTGTGTGCTGTATGACACCTATAAATTGTGTTTAGCAGTCTGATAGAGTAAGTTAGAACTGTTTATAGCAGCCTGCTTATATAAAATATATTTGGTGCTACACAATATGATATAATATATATATATATATATATATATATATATATATATAT